ATCCCTAACCCAGAAGCTGTCTCCAATTGATAACTACTCACCACAAATGAAAAATTAATTTTCTCCAATGGTGTCTTACTGAGAATACAAATAATACTTAAGGACAATCTCCATGCCCAGCAGTAGATGACCAACACAAAATTAACTCAGTAGTATGTTTTGGAGGTTTTTAAATCTCATAATGCTTTTCTAGGCATTTAAAAAAAACTTTGCAGGTCTTTTGCTCATGTACTATGGTTCTCATTTAGTATTTTTATGGGATCTCTCTCTTTCTTCTCTCTCTTTCTCTACCCCTATCTCTGTATTGTGTACCTCTGTATGCATTTCTTGTGCTTTTCTTTGTCTCCCTTTTCTGTTTTGTCCTATTCTGTTTTTGTTGTTGTTTGAATTTTTTCTTTTTTATTGTTTTTATTGAGCTGTTCAGTTTTGTCTGTCCTTTCTATGTTTGTTTTTTAATGTCAGAAATAAAAGTGTGTAGATTTGGGTGGTTGAGGAAGTGAAGAGTATCTTGGAGAAGTTAAGGGAAGGGAAAATGTGATATGAATACATTGTCTGAAAAATATTTTCAGTAAAAATAAAAATTATTAGAAAATTTTCCTACTTCAGACTTTCATAAGTGCTAGTCTACTCTTTTCTTCAAAACTTCAAAACACTACTGATAATGTATTTGAAAATTTTCTTGTTTTATGGAAGGTTCTGAGGAAGATCTCTGGTACAATATACAATAGTATATTATATAGCAAAACAAATAGTAATAATTAACCAGCCCCCAAATCCAAAAGTTTCAAAGAAATAGCAATCAACAGAAAATCAACAATCAGGATGAAGAAAAACCCCACAGGCAAGTACAATCATGATATGGTACCATAAGTTTAGCAGGGATCATAGGAACAGAAATATGTGGGACTCAGTCTCCAGGAGTCAGTCCAGATACTGATGGGAATATAGACATGTCTGTAGGTAAATTAAAGCTGGTGCTATTAAGCAGTAAGCGCAGACACAAAGACGACTCACAGCAAAGGAAGCACATTCAGTGACCTATTTCTTACAAGATGAGATCCAAATGGAGTACACTATGCTTCATCTCCCCCTTGTCTCTTTTCTTTTCTGATTCATCTTGCTATGTCCAGAAATATTTTCCTGAGTCTTTGTTCTGGTGAATGTTCTCTGGCCTAGGATATTGTCCCAGTTGGCTCATTTGAATATTCTACTTTATAAGTTTAGACTTCCTTTTTTATGCTTAGACAAATTTACTGGACCCAGACACAAAGCCTGCCAAGTGTATTTCCCAGGTCTTTGTTTGTTTCCCTTTGGGTTTTTCTCTGCTGTAAAAGTTGGAAAGCTGATGGGCTCCCACCGACTCTACCATTTTGGACCATATCACTGCTACTCACTAGGGAAGCCAAAAAGCCCAGCTCATTTGCATGACTCTCTGCAGTGGCCCTTTTGACCCTAGGGCTGTTAGAAGTACTCATTAGATCCTCTTTAATTAAATATGTAACACACATCATGACATCAAAAATAAAAAAAGAGAAAAATACAAACCCAACAAAGCTCCTGCACCTAATTAAAAGCAGGCTGTCTTTGCCTCAGAGCAAGCTGGGGACAGTGCTTTCATCCTGGGCACAGCCACAGAACCCCTGGTGCCCAAACCCAGGAGGCAAGGACATGAGACTTTGTATGTGCCGAGAACTCTAAGCTTTGTTGGGTGACACAGGCTCCCTCACCTCCCAGTAGGTGGGATCTAATTTCAGCTCCCGAAATGTGTGAGTCAAGGTGAGGACCAGCTTCCATTTCCTTTCATCCGTCCCCTCAAATGCTCATTTGGTGACTACCACGCAGTGTTATTATAGGTAAACAGAACATGGACACAGTGGTATGGACTTCCCAGCAAAACAAAACAGAAAAGTTCAAAGAAAATGACCCTCATGTATCAGCTGTTCATCCGTGACTCTGATGGAAAGGGATGAAGCAGCTTAACATGGCTCCCAGGGGTAAGGTCCTTGAGGGCCTTTATTTTGTACAGTGCTGAAGATAGAAAGCAGCAAATCCATGGAGGAGACTTGTTTGTTCACCTTCTCAGAATCTCCTTCATAGATAACCTTGAGCTGTCCTCCTCTCCTCCTTTAATCTTTTGTCCTCTCCACCCTCACTGGTCCTCTCCCTTCTTTACGAAAACTGCAAAACCTCTTCACCTTCTCCCGTGAGCTTCTTTCCTATTCTACATGAGTCTCAAAATCATTTCCTCATGCTAAAGGGATTCAAAATACCTCTTACTTATCTTGTCAGTGATGGCAGCCCATGAACTGTTACACTGTTGGCAGAAGGGCTGGGGCAGGACAGGTGGCTGGAAGTTATACGTGTTGTGTCCTAAGAGGCCCTTCTTGTGGGTAACTTATTTGTATAGCTCTGGAAGGACCTGGGCACTTTAAGTAAACCAGAAAATTCTGGTTCCTCTTTAAGCTTTGAAGTGTAAAGGAAGGCTCTGCTTTTCCTGTGTTGCTATTTGCAAATTTTGAATTCAAACTCTCATCCAGTGCAGCAACCGGTTTAACAGAGAGTAGAAGGAGGAGATTTAGGGCATCTGCTTGTCATGTTTGCTGCCAGCTCTTTGGGCACAAGACCTACTGAATCTAACAAGATCCATCAACCATAGAAATACCCGTGGAACAAGTAATTGTTAGGGCCCCGTTATGTGCCAGGTACCCAGGTCTCATTATGGGGCTCCTATAACTGAGTGTGGAGATGGTCAGAATTTGGCAATAGTAAAAGGTTTTTTAATGTTCAAATGATCAAAAGTCAGTTCAAATTCAAAGGCATTATGAATCTGAAGAAATCCCAGCAGAACCCACCCGTGTGGCACTGTGTGAACTCACTAAGCTTGAACCCTTGGGGTGTGCACTCTGCCTCGGGCTACACAACACCAACAAATGCTGTTGGAAACCCCTCAGTTCAGATCCCTGGCTATTGGATGTTATTAATTGTGGTGTTTTTACTGTAAGCACTAAATTTTCTGCTCTTATGAGATCATAATGGTTTAATTATGGAAAACAACGAGTTTGAATGTTTTTCCACTATCCTTTCTCAGCATGTCAGTATCATATTAGTATGCCTTTGCTTTGTACCGGGTTAGAATATTTGTTTTGAAAAATTGCTTGTTTGAGTTGCTAACTTGAGTTTTATAAAAGAAGAAAAAAAACACTAAATGAATTTTGGCTTAGGATTAGTATGGAATTTCCAACAATTTCTGAAACTTCCCCCAATTGGTGCTTCTACTATTTTACATTATGCATTTGTACAAAGCAGTGTCCTCAACATTAACAGTTTTAAATAAAAATATTGATCAACTCTGAAAAACACTGAAGATAATCTATATCCTCTAAGATCATATATACATCCATGATTTAATTTTTTATGTAAAAATAAGCAGGCACGCCTATTTTATTAGTATGCAACTTGCTTTCATCTTGAATATATTAAAACTACTTGTAGAAAGCATTGTTTAAAATACATGTCACTATGATTATTGGAAACTGTTGGATTTTCATAGACATTTTAATAGATTTTGTTCTAGTTCCATTTGTGTTGCTGTGGAGAAGACGCCTTGACCAAAAACAACTTGGATGAGGTAAAATGGTTTCTTTGGTTTATGAGTCCAGGCTACAGTTCATCCTTGAGAGGAAATCACTCTAGGGACTCAATTAGCCAGTCACATTATAAGCACAGTCAAGAGCAGAGAGAAATGAATGAACCTGTTTCCTGCTTTTTTATGTAGCTCAGGGTATTTGTTCTCATATGTAGCCTAGGACTAACTGCTAAAATAATGGTGCCACCCACAGTAGCTCAGTTCTTCCCCCATCAATCAATAATCAAGGCAGTTCTCCATGGACGTGCCCGGAGGCCAACCTGATCTAGGTAATGTTTCAACTGAAGAGTTCTTCCTACGTATTCTAGTTTGCTTTTCTGCTGCTTGTGATAAAACACTGACCAAGGACAACCTGGGGAGGAAAGGCTTTATTTGGCTTTTGGTTATAGTTTATCATGGGCAGTGTGTGTGTGTGTGTGTGTGAGAGAGAGAGAGAGAGAGAGAGAGAGAGAGAGAGAGAGAAAGAGAGAGAGAGAGAGAAGAGAGAGACAGAGAGAGAGAAGGAGAGAGAAAGAGAGAGAGAGGGAGAGAGAGAGACACAGAGAGACAAAGAATGATGCACGCAGAGAGAATGCAGAAACTCCAGGCAGGAATCCGGAGTCAGGAATGACTTGCTCTTCTTGTCTTTCTCAACTTTCTCATACAACCCAGGATCACCTGCCTAGGAATGGCTGTTCCACATCAATCATTAACTTAAAACAAATGCCCCACAGATGTACTTACAGGCCAGTGTGGTGGGGGCAGTTCTTCTGTTGGGGTTCTGTCTTCCCAGGTGATTCTAGTTTGTGTCCCATTTACAAAACTAACCAGCATACCAGGTCATTTTGGCTAGAGCACGTTGACATTTCAAACTAACTAGTACGCCTCTGTACTCAGGGCCATATAAAAATGTCTCAGTTGAAAAGAGGTTTCAAGTGGTAAAAGGCTTTGTTCTAGTATGAGTCATGAAATAATAACAGCACCGACATCCAGCTATAAAAATTCAGAATTCTAATGGAGGAAAACAAGCAGTTAAAGCCACAAGAAGTGATAGAGTTGGTAGCTTAGATATGATGATTGAGAAAGCCTCTCTCTATTGAGGAAAGACTTGTGTGCCATGAAACTATATGAACGTCTATGGGAAGACAGAAAGGTCAGTACATTTAAGGGCAACTTCTGTAGCTAGAGTAGACTCAACTGATAGAGGAGAACCAGGAATCTTCTGGTTGAGTCTGATGAATCACTTGCAAGCCTCTAACATTATTACTGTTTTGGACCAAATCTGTGTTTTTGTTGTAATGTACAAATAATTTTACTGGACAAAAGTTGATGATTGACTTCTATCATATTGATTGCTTGGAGGTAGTTCAAAACCCTGGAGAAGAAGGTCAAGATGTTGGACTACAGGAACCCTCTGTGTGAGAACTGAACGTCATGAAAGCCGAAGACACTAACCAAAGGTGCTCTTGAAAGATTATGAACCTTCAAGATGGAGGACAGACACAGAGAAGCAAGAGGGTGAGTCTTGAGGTCTCCTCGCTACTTGGGGCTTTCCCACCCAGATATGTTTATCCCTGTATGACACACCTCTCAGGAAACTCTTCTTCCTCGGCTCAGATGAGAGCTGTTTTACCATTTGTTCAAACCCTCTTAGCCTGTTATTTTTTTTCTTCTAAAACCTTATCATTGACTTCATGCATTCTACTTTCAAAGTATCTTCAGAGCCTGAATACATCTTATCATTTTATAACAGCTCTTTGGCCCAAGCCATCCTCTCTCTCGCCTGACTGACGCTGGCTCCTGACCAGTCCTTGTTGAGCTTGTCCTTGCCTGATTCCTAGTCCCACGGCCTATCATGACCCAGACAGCAGGACAGTGCCTTCAAAAATCAAGGTGAAATCACACAACCCCACAAAACTGTGTGATGGCTTTCCCTTTCCTTCAGAGTGAATTTCCCAAACCCTCAGACAGCGAGGCACCTTCCCTGAGATCCCCTCACCGTGGGGACTCTAATACCGCCACTGTTACCTTTGCTCACTCTGCTCTCATTATGCAGACTGGAAAAGATGCTCGCAGTGGAGATTTACTGTTCAGAACATGTACTGCAAATAGAGGATAATGCACCTCTATAACCCTATAATGTCTTAGGCTGTAATAGTCGATGCTTATTTTGTGGTTTCAAAATTCTAACCAATAAAGCCTTATCATTCCCAAAGCTTTAGATCACCCTCCCATTTTTATTTTTTTAAATCTCTATTGATACTAAATTAATTCTGGTATTAATGCTATTTTTCACATGCTGAAATACAGCCTCGCTTTAATCTCATAAGACTTAATAGAGCTTTAATGCAATCTCACTGCCCCAAATAGCTTGACCTCTACAGCAGCCAACTCATTTCCTCCTCACCATATTAATAAAAATATTCTCTTATGCTCTGTGTATTTGAAGCCTTTTATTTTGAAATATATCACCGTCACGGAGATGCCACACAAATACATACTTGCCTAGCTATGAAGAACAATGTTCAAAGAGAAACTAACATATTTAAGAGTGTTTCACTGCTGGTTCCCAGCGACTGTTTCTGTGGGTCCCTCATCTTGTTACATCCCTTGCCTCTCCCCAGAGTTAAAGGAACTACTACTGTTATTATTGACACTAGTTATTTTCTTTCTAGGTTCATCTTTTTTTTTTTTTTTTTTTTTTTTTTTTTTTTTTTTTTTTGGTTTTTTTTTTTGACAGGGTTTCTCTGTGTAGCCCTGGCTGTCCTGGAACTAGCTCTTGTAGACCAGGCTGGCCTCGAACTCCCAGAGATCTGCCTGCCTCTGCCTCCCGAGTGCTGGGATTAAAGGCGTGCGCCACCACCGCCCGGCCTTCTAGGTTCATCTTTGTATATATTTTGAATGACCCATTCTTCATTTTGTTTGAATCTGTATCACACAGAGTGAGACGCTGACAATGTTCTTTGGGATTGTTTCTTCACTCAGTGGTGGGCCCAATATTCATTTCTATCTTATTGACACATGCAATTGCAAACTGTTGAGACTTTTTCAGGCCAACTTGAAGCCCCGTGTCGTCTGTAAGATTTTCCTACCTTTCTACTCAATTCTATATAGTCTTGAAATAAAATTTTATCTTTCCTCATTTCCCAGGGATTCCCATATTCTAGCTTATAATATAATTTTTCATATTCTCTTATATTTACTCCTGGTTTATTGGTCTTCAAAAGGCAGACTGTTTATCTCTTTTTTCCTCGTTTTCAGTAGCACCAGACCTAGAATATATGCATAATTTATGATTATAAAATGCTTATTAAACGCACGATGTTGAGAACTACAGTATATATTTGGATGGCAGACCCTTTATTGCATATTCCCCAAAGTCTAGCTAGCTCAATAATAAATACATCTCATCTATTTCTCATCTCGCTAGGCTATTGTACACGCTCGGCTTACTGTTTGACTTCAATTACATTCTCAATAGCAGTTTCTCATCTCTCCAAAGCTATGTTTTGTATCTGCTAACCTGCATCTGTCTAATATTGAAATCTCGGCACTAAAGAAAACAATTGGGTAAACAAAAGTGTAAGTGGGTGAAGGATTAATCAGAGTCAGGGCCCTTAATTCTGCGCTGCTTGTGCTAAACAAATGTAATGAAGGGGAATCCAATAATAGAAGCGCGAAGAGTAAGAAGCCATCCCCGAGCGTGTGTGGAGACACAGCTGTGCTTACTCCAGGCCCTGCTAAGTAGCGGCACCGTGGTTCCCAGGGCTGGATGTCTTGGAGCCCTGGGAGGGTTGCCTTTCTCAAACTTTTCTTCTGGAAGATGCCTCTGCCTCATCTAAGCCAAAGAACAAGTGTATCTGAGAAAGCTCCCGTGAATTCCCCTAAGCTCAAAACATACAGAGCAAAATACAACTTCCCTCTGAAAAGGAAATGAAGTGTTTTATTTCTTTATTTATTAGATTTGTTACTAACCGTACCCTGTGCCCGAGCCCCCTAGGCAGAAAAGCTTATTGTAAAATAATAGAGATAATTAAATTTTATATTATGAAACAGCAATCAATGCAGCAAAACTAGTATCTCATCCACTGGGGATACCGAAACTAAAGAGATGGGTTCTGTGTGATGTCCCAAGGCCAAACAGCGCTGCTGTCTCTTCTCCGCTCTCCTCATCCAGTGATATTTATTAAGAATGTGGTTGCTGACTACCTTCCACGTCTTGTTTTCTACAAATTAAGACTGGCACTCAATTATATAGTAATGTCTTGGATAATACTTGTGGTATTGACCCAAGAAGAACTTAGGAATTTATGCCATCACCCTGAGGTGAACTTGTAAAATTGGTTAATTTCGTTCTCAAGGAGCTATTTGCCTCTCTGTTCTCTTTCCTGAGCTTTCGTCCTCAGAATTCCCAGTGTGCATCCTACCTGCTCACCCATGTGGAATTTCATGAAGGAATCTCCGGGTTTATTCCAGTAATATGCCCAAACCTAGCTTGACTCTTAAAGGTTGTGTGCTCATGGCATGGCATTTGCATGTGTCTAAATGGCCTGATGTGAATTTTACTACTCACCTGTTGGTCCTATGACTTGAGGAAGTTTATTTAGTCCCTTCTAGATTTTATTTTCAATTATTGCTGAAAAAGAAGTCTATCCACTTTTCTTTGTAAGCAAACCAGTAACTTGTTTCCTGGCTAACAAGCATTCACTGTCTCAGGAAGAAGAAAGCAGACCCTACAAAAACACAATAGAACATCATTCCAACCACAAAGAGACTGAGGTCTGCAGCCACCTGGATTTGTCTAAAAGAGTACGCCAACCCTGGGCAAATAGGGCCAAGAGAATAACTGTGTGACCACAGCAGTAGCAATATAACAGAGCACAGCAGTTTATGGAGATTTTTAGAGCATCCACAAAAATCCCTGCGAGGTTTCAGGTACACAATGGCTCGTCGACATTTGAGATCCTAAAGGCACTGCACATTTAGACAATAGCCATGCATGTTGAGATAAAGCTCTGTAGAAACTGGAGACATTGACACATATGTACAGATGTGTAATTTAAAATTACCTTCAAAAAACCAGTCAGGAAAGTTGAACTTTGAGCTTTAACTTAGCTCTGTCTGTGTGGCTCGGTTTGAGACTGTGGATGTCAGATTCAGATCCTGAATTCATGGGAGAATGAGGTTCAGTAAATTTAAGTAACAAAGATATTCATTCAAGGAAAAGAATCATTTATCATCTTTATAGGTACTTGCAAGTGGATAGCCGGGATCTAACTCCAGGTTCTTCTATTTGGATACCACTTCACTGTGCTCATGACTTTATGATCAATTAAATCACTGGTGGTACATTTTCTGTTCTTGTTTCTACCACTGGATAGGAAATATTGAAACTGCAAGAGGAATATCGGAGACATTATCTGTCTTTCATTAGAGGACCAAGCCAAAGTGCAGCCAGAAGCATATCTTGTGCTGTGAAGAGCAATTTACCAATGTAGGGGTGGCCATGTGAGTCTGCAAGGACATGATGTCATTAGTGACCAGCAGAGAAATGACCAACATTCACACAAGATGACCACTTCTGGAACATGCCACCTTCTTGTGTACCCATATCATCAAACACTGAATATTACTTATTTCACCAGGGGAAAAATCCTATCAACAGATATCACCAAAATGCCTTTGTTATCTCTGAATACATGCAGGTGACTAAACATCTAGCCTTTAAAAATACATCTTTCCTATTGTCCTGACCACAGTAAAAACAAAGGACCCTAAAGCCATCTTGAAGTATAATCTTCAAACTTACAGCAGTCATGGAAAGAACGAAAGATTTGCAATCACAGATTTCGGGTCCATCATTTAACAGTTGTGAGAATTCAGTCTGGGAAAAGGATTCAGGAGCCCTTATATATCATGAATGTCATCCGGACTGGACACAATGTATGCAAAAGACATTATGACTGATGCCTAGGAGAAGCTCAATCTCCTTTAAGCATAGTTGTTATTTTGATCATGACTAAGAAAGGGTGGGAGAAGTCACCTGACGACTACATTGACAATAACGGGAAAATTGTTTTTCTGCATGATGACTCATGGAAGAATGATGTCCTCTGAGCAAATGGTGCAAGCTGCCACTCAAATTCCCTGAAGAATATGGAAACACACCCATCAGTGTGATCAGAATCAACAAACATTTTAAAAAGGTGAAAAAACGCCCAGATGAAGTGAAAGCAAAAAAGCGTACCTTTTGGATGGAGAAATGATGAAAAAAATGATGACTATAATAAGAACAGTATTCATGCAAATTATATACCTGCATATGCCAAACATTCTTGATAACAAAATACAGCCTTTTGTTTTCATATAATTCATGTATGTCATGTGTAGATATACATGCATAATTATACATATACATAATATTTTTGTGAAATAACCAAAAAATGTCATGAGTTTTGAACATAGATGCAATGCAGTAGTACTAAACATGTGTTTAAAGAAAATTAATAAACTAGAAG